TTCAGCCGTCAAAACGCAGCGACCCATAGAACTGTTTCTTTTAGAAACGATGCTCACGTCTTGGCTAGATCGCAATCTCCAATAAGGTTTTTGCTTATATTCTTTATTATACTTAATTTAATGTAGATCCGGTTTTCCAGCGCGTTAAGTGACCGGTTTAGTTATTGTTCAGTGGCTCATTTTGAGTGCAAAAGTAAGCGATCGCGAAACAAGTCCATTGAGCGTCTTTCTTACAACAAATGAATAAATGCTTCTCTCATACGTGTACTCTCACCAATCACGGCTCACCGATATTTATCATTTTCCGCCAAACTCGAAGGCATGCGTTTCGCATACACTCCACACCAGGTCAAACGAGGCGAATGAGGTTTCGACTAAGCCCACAGCTAAACCGTTAGGTGCTTTGGCTCGTGGTGACTGGTATGTCCAACCGAAGATTTGTCCCGTTGAGTGACTCCTTGTGTTCGATGTATGTAAGTGACAGCAATAAGCTTTTACGACCTCATCTTCGATGGTTTTATTTCAAAATATATATATTTTTTACCCCTCGATGAATTCAACCGCAGTTCACACGATGCGCAGATCTGTCACCACAACAATGAAACAGAACGGGAGGCAAGTGAATGGTATATTTTCTAGAAAACTCGTCATGAACCTCGAAATGGTCAGCTGAAGGCAAACCTGTCTAGAAGAAGAACATTCTTATTTAAAACTTAGACGGAAGGATTGATAATTTCCATTCCATTCTGTATTTCTATTCTCGATTGAACTGACGGCTGTATTAAACGCTTTAATGAGCTTTAGTGGCAAATCTTGTTTACGTCAGCCTGGTCGAGGCACTGAATACTGGCTGCACGGCTAATATCAACCTGTTCCACGATTGATGCCGCATCTATCAAGGAATACACCAAGAAGATGCCATTTCATCAGTGCTCTTCGATGCTTCCTTGGAGTCACTCTTCAACCAGCCAAACTTGCTCAACGATATCAGAGCATGGATGACAGCTGTGGTGCTAGTTATTTGCGGACAACTGGAACATCTTTGGTCAAGACACGACGGAACTCCAGCAGAAGATTCAGTAGTTGCGAGAACACCTCTCATCGTCAAATCAGAGGTAGCTTCTGCAAGGGAGCGAAATGCCTGTAGAATAAGCACTGCCTTCAAGGATCTGAATACTTGAAGGACAAAGAATTCGAAGAAATCACCAGCTATGCCATCAGATGGACCGCATGAACCTGTCAGAGAAAATCAGCATAGAAGGAAAGTATCATTGGCCAGCATTAGTCGTATTAAAACGTCATTACTAAACAATGAGCTGTTCATGTGGGCGAAGAAAGAACTGTTCGATTCAACTTTCCTACACGTCATGTTCTGCGGCGCTGCGTGTTATCTGCTATTAAATCAAAGGGAACAAACTGGTCGCCAGGCAAATAGCGATAGACTGAAAAATATGCATGTCCTTGCTCGGGAACAACTTTTTGAACGCGTAAATTCGACAGATGGATGAACAGATGACAGACGATGTGATTTCTGCCTCGTGCAATGCCAAGAGAAGATAAACCGTTATATCGTTCGCCTGAGAGAAAACCGACAGATCAAGAATTACAAACTGGGAGGAACATGCGCAACGATCCGATGGTCAAATAACTTGATCAGCGGTAGAGGAAGAAAGAGGAAAATAGAGAATATTGGAGGAGCTTCGACTTTCTTTCATGGTGACCCATAATGATGACACGTCGGGTAACGGATAATGGAACCGTTAAGCAACGCTTATGGAATAAACCGCCATCAACTCGTCTAATTATATCGCCTTACAATCTGAACATAATGGTACAATTTATCTCTAAATTGAAATTGACGAAAAGCTACCATCTGCGATCTATTTACATTCGATTGCATGTCATCTAGTGGAACTCGATCTTTTGCTTTTGCTTAAAATCGTCATTACTTAATGGGTGATCGACCTTAGGAATCAAACAGGCATCCTATTTTCACCAATTGCTGTGACGTCTAGTAAACCACTATGCTTCGTGGATTCTAAACAACAGTAAATAAACGAAATCTTATACAGTGGTGAATTATTATGGGTCACAACTATGGCGAAAGCATGAAGACCTTCGTTCAGATTTCAACCATGTGGTTTGACCTGAGGAATATAGTCACCGGGTATTTATGGCGTACTACAACAGATTTAAAGTAAACAAGACGAAAAATCTGCCAGTACTTGTGCCGCCTGTGTACAGTTGGGTCAGGCATGAAATTGTCCCAGTTTTTCTCAAGTCGCCGATACGTTCCATTAGTGTTTTTAGAAGGATGTGTGTAACGAATTACAGTAGGAAAAATTCTTTGCAATAAATTCTAAATGTTTCTTTGATTTCCGGACTCGAATCTGATACTTACGGTTTGTCGATCAGTTGCGCCGTCCTTCCTGGTCAACTAGTGACACAATGTTTGCGTACTGCATGAATGGCCCTAAAAACTGTTTTACTGTTATCGAAGGTACTTGCGTTCCAGATTAACTGGCGACATGTATCCTAGCGGAGGATGTGCAATGATCACACCTATGGATCTAATTACGATACGTTACAGTTGGGCTGATATTTGTTTAATCTCCATACGTGCAACTAATCCGGCATGAATGGCCCTAGTTGAATTGAACTTCGGTGCTTAAATCAATATCACTTTCTAGGTATTTGCCCCCCC